TAGGATCGTACAAACTGTGAGTGAGGAGACCCCTCGAGCGAGGCAGCCTCCACCGGCTCCTATTGTGAAGCATGAGCGCCGATCTCCCAGTGGTGACACACCAGGAGTGGCCTCGTCGTCGGCTGAATTAGTACGAACTAAATCCAGTTATGATAAGGTAGGGGAGTCTTCTGACCTTCCGTTGGAGGGTCGAAGTCATGAACAGATACGCCTCTTTGTGACTTACGAGAATCAGCGTTGGTGGGTGACTGGTGGCTGGGGTCATCACCTCTTTGCAGGGGAGCGCTCGGCCTGGAGCGACGAGTATGGGCAGTTCTACTGTCCAAAGGAGTCCTTCCAACTCCCTAAGGGCCCAGGCCGATGGGAGTGGACGAGTCTATGGTAGTAGTAGTAGGCAACATAAGGTCTATTGGGCTCCCCTGTATTAGGTATGTGGATCGGAGTGCTGATGGAGACGTCGAAGGTTGGGAGTATGTACGGCGGGCCTTCGAGTGATGATAGTTTATGATGTCGACTAGGGCTTTATGACCTGTTGTGGTTTGGTCGCTATTCCTCCCTCTCGGGTTTTTTGATGGTATGGGTTGTCCCTATCAGATACGCTGTATCATTCACCGCGGCTAATGAAGAGGGTTTCCACTCGGACATGCGGAGATCAGATGTTGTGAGGCGTAGGAGATGGTGTCGACGCTGCAGGATGGTGCCTGGCTCGGACATTGAGCCTGCTGGGCCCAGTCCTAAGGCGGCCACCATTGAATCGATTCCCCAGATGAAGCGGCATATATCTTCTGTTTGAACACTATGTGTGTATACTTACACTCTGACGTGTGTTGTGGCCTGAGTGGGGAGTTGTGGAAAGGGAATCTTATTTCCTTCGTTTGCCCATGTGTGTAGCGACAACAGCACTATTCTGTTGTCCATGCTGAAAGAACCGCTGGGCAGGTGTCTCCTTTTTAGTGGTATAGTAATTGAGGTCAGGTTGTTACAGGGAGCTCTTAGAGGCTTGTGAAAGGATGTGTATCCCCCAGATTGGCTCAGAGCTAGTGCCATTGATTAATAATAACGAACAGATACCATGGGC